CGGGCCACGCAGTTGTGCCTGGCGTTTGGGGGGGCGCACCCGCAGCCACTACGGCCTTCCCGGCCGCCTCCCCTTCCCCATGCCCTACTCCGTATTTTTCCCATCCATTTGGGCACTCGCCCGATCTTATTTAATCGTGATGAAGCAGGGGCGGCTAACAAGTAGCTGGAAGCACTGGCCAATATTTAACTAAGATGGCTGGCCACCAGGTCCCTTTTGTTTGCTTGCAAATTAATCATCCAGCGCGCAGTCGGCGCCAGGGTAGATTTATCACCCGCAGGAGGGGGAACAAGGCGGCAGAGGAGAGACAAAGACTGTTCGCACCTTCCTGCTTTTGATGTGAGATTAGCGCAGCCTCCCTTCATAATATGAGTCTCCGGGGGGCTTCGACGGGGAGGTCACTCGGATGTTTGCAAGACACGAGCTGCCGCTGGGGAGCACGGGCGGCCACGGCCCCCTCGGGCGCGCGGACACGCGTGGGGCCGCTCGGCGTGGGCCACTGAGCGGCCAACTTGGGGACGGGGGGGCGTGTTCGAGGGGGCACGTTGATTTTTTTGAGTGGGGCGGCGCTGGTTCCTAGCGGAGGTTTCTTAGGGGACTTGCAGCCCCCTCTCCCTTCGCCCGTAACTGGTTGCAAACGGGAGTCAGCGCGTCCGAGCTTCGCAAAACACATGAGACTTTGTCCCCCTTTTCTTCCCCCTATCCTCGTCGGGCTACGGCTCCCCTCCTCCTGCCTCCTCGCCCCCCTCCTCGCCCGGGAGATATTTTGGGGAATGCAGAGCGAACCGAGACGCGGCTCGGAGCCGGGACTCAGCGCGCTGGCGCCAGGCGCTCTTAGCCGCGTGCGTTCAAACGGCACCGTTAGGAGCGCTAATCGCGTTAGAGGTTCCGCTGCCTCCGCGTCGCGCAGGGTCCCCCCCGCCGGCTCCCAGCGCTTCCCAGAAGCGGGACGAGCTGGCGGCGGGACCCGCTGCACCCCTGGGGGCGGCACGGCACCTCCCAGCGCCGGCCACGCGGGTCCTGCCTCCCCCCGCCCCGGTCAC